GCAGGAGGCAGCCAATCAATGATTCTCTCATCATTAATGTTTCTGTCTCTCTCTCCCTCTCCCTTCCTCTCTGAAATCAATAAAAAATATATATATTAAAAACAAAAAGAGGTCTAATTCTCACCCAGTTGGTGTGGCCCAGTGGTTGAGCATCGTCCCATGAACCAGGAGGTCTTGATTTGATTCCTGGTTAGGGCATATGCCTGGGTTGCGGGCTCGATCCCCAGTGGGGGGTCATGCAGGATGCAGCTGATTGATGTTTCTCTCTCATTGGTGTTTCTATCTCTCTCTCCCTCTCCCTTCCTCTCTCTAAAATCAATATCAATATAAATGTAAATATACACACACACATGCACACACTAGAGGCCCGGTGCACAACATTCGTGCACTGGCGGGGGGGGGGGGGTCCCTCATCCCGGCCTGTGCCCTCTGGCATTTCAGGACCCCTCGGGGGATATCCTCTCTGCTCCTTAGCGCTACCGTGGAGGCGGGAGAGGCTCCTGCCACCGCCAGTGTGCTTGTGAGCCGTGAACCCAGCTTCTGGCTGAGCTGCGCTCCCCTGTGGAAGCACACTGACCACCAGGGGGCAGCTCCTGTGTTGAGCATCTGCCCCCTGGTGGTCAGTGAGCATCATAGCAACCTTTGTTCTGACATTCGGTTGATTTGCGTAGTAAGGTTTTATTATATAGGATGGTCTAATTCTAGGCAAAGCTCCTTGGTTTCCTAATTACTTTGTTATAAATTCATGCAGTGAGTAGTGAATGTATGGGAAGCAAATGTAGAAGAGTGAAATTTATAAGCATCCTTGTGTTGTGCTGGAAGATTGTCAGTAACCCAGAAAGATGGTTGGGGTGACTAATAACGCTTTTGAACACTGCGCAGACAGGTATCGTTCATAGTGTTGACTTAACTGGTGAACACGCTGTATAAACTTGTGTAATTGCTTAACCAAGCACAAAGCTTTTTGCCATTTATAGATGAAAAATTTACTTAAAAGATAAACATTTTTGCCTTTTCCCCTTCTTACTACGACACCTGCTCTGTTTCTGGGAAAAGCTCTCAATTTTCCCAGAAATGGAGATGGGGGCCCGTTCACAGAAGGCAGAGGACTAGTTCCCGTGGAGAAATGAGTGACAGGGCGGCGGGTTGGGGCTGTGTGGTTGGAGACCGCGCTGGGCGTGGGGGCTGCCCAGTCTTGCACTGAGGGCCACCATGTCCTTGTTTCCCATGAAGGAAACGCTAACGTTTTCATGTGGTTTCCTCTGTGAACACTCACCCCTCTGTGTCTCCCTAAGGCTCGGAACGCCCAGGACCTGCACGAACGCATCCAGTCGTCCAGCATGGACTCCAAGCTGGAGGCGCTGAAGGACTTGGCCAGCCTCTCCCGGGACGTCACCTTCGCCCAGGAGTTCATCAACCTGGACGGCATCTTCCTGCTCACGCAGATGGTGGAGAGCGGCACCGAGTAAGCCCCTTGCCCCGACATCCTGCCTGCCTGCTCTTCCTCCCCCGCCCCCGCCCGGGGGGCTGTTACTCCCTTACATTGCAGTGTCTACTTTCAAAGACCAGGAATTGACGAGGCTCAGGAAAAAGAAAAGAAATGGCTTTTAAGTTAGTGTTTGGGGAGCAGGTTTGTCACCTAAGTATCAGGAGATTGTCTACCCACCAAGGAACCAGTGTCTTAGTTGAGATATTAGGGCACGGGCCTGCATGGGTGGGGTAGGCAGGAGACCACCACAGCCATTTGAGTGGGCGCTGAATTCCATAAGGTGACTTGGAATTTCAAATTTATAAGAAAAAATATTAGATCCTTATCTCAAAGAGCCTTTCCAACACTGAACTAATAATTCTACAAAATATAAAGCCCTCACATCCTTCGCCTATCTCTCTGAATGAGTTAAAAACAAATGAGAATAACTCCTTCCAGTCTCAAAGTCAAACCAGGTCAAAAATAGCGTGGCTAAAGTAAGTTTCCATCAATTAATGTGTGAATGATGAAATACATGACCTTACATATTTAAAATTAAATGCAGTAAACATTTATTAAATACTGACTGTATACAAGAGTGGAAATTGGGAAATCTTACAAAAATGTGAGACTTGCCATCAAAAATGTATGGAGGCAGAAGTCAGCTGAGGCATAATTCCTCCTGGGCCTTTGAGTCTAGACTCTAGAGGCTGGCCAGGCCGGCTGCTTCCGGAACCTCCCAGAGGAGTCAGCGGGCCATGAAGGAGTTTGATTCCATCCCCACAAGAAAGGGATGGGCTTTTGGGCTCAGGAGCTCGCCTCAGGGAAGGCGTTGCTTCTCTGGAGGGACTGGGGGGTGAGGAGCCAGAGGTGTGGCTCCTGCATGTGTGGGCAGGTCAAGCCCAGGACCACGGAGTGCCAGGGAGGGTCCACAGGACACGGCTCATCCCATGTCCATGTGGTCAGTGCCACAGGCATAGACTGTGAGAGCATGTGGGTTAGAGCATGTAAGCATGCTGAGTCAGTTAATTACATATTAACATGCTAAATTAATAATGGGCAGGGTTGCCCTAGCCGGTTTGGCTCGGTGGATAGAGCGTTGGCCTACGGACTAAAGGGTCCCAGGTTCGATTCCAGTCAAGGGCACATGCCCGGGTTGCAGGCTCAATCCCCAGTGGGGGGCGTTCAGGAGGCAGCCAATCAATAATTCTCGTCATTGGTGTTTCTATATTTCCCTCTTCCTTCCTCTCTGAAATCAATAAAAATATATTTTAAAAAAATAATGGGCAGGGTTGGGTAGGTATTTTTTTCAGAAAGAGTACATATCATTGTGAATTGGGGTTTAAACCTGGGTCCTTTAAACCTTTTCAGTACCTGGCGATTCAAAGAATGAGCTGATAAACTGCCTGTTGGAGCCCTCCCAGCCCCCTCCCATCCTCCCTTCCTTCCTCTCTTCCTTCCTGTCTCCTCCCACATGGGGCATTATTTAACCTCTGCAATTGGCACTGGTAAAAGATTCTGTTTTTTGTTTGTTATTCAGAGAGGATGTTTTCTAGTAACAGGAATAGCTCCCATATAAGAATGCTCTGTAGAGTCTGGCTGGCATGGCTCAGTGGTTGAGCGTCAACCTATGAACTAAGAGGTTAGTGTTTGATTCCCAGTCAGGCACATGCTGAGTTGTGGGCTTGATCCCCAGTGGGGAGTGTGCAGGAGGCAGCTGATCAATGATTCTCTCTCATCATTGATGTTTCTGTCTCTTTCCCTCTCCCTTCCTCTCTGAAATATATATATATATATATATATATATATATATATGTGTGTGTGTGTGTATATGTGTGTATATTTATATATATATATATATATATATAAATATATATATATATATATTTTAAGAATGCTCTGTAGAGTTTGGAGTTGGTGGGTCTTACCTCGTAGACAAGTAGGGACAATATCTAAGAGTGAATTGGGAAGAAATTACAAATCTGAGAGGACTGATGGGAAGGGTCAGTTGTAGGCTGGTCTCATTTATTTATCAAATGATGCCTAAAGCACTGCTTGTGAAATTTTTGGAAGAACATCAGTGTGGAGTGGATAGGGAGAATTGAGTTGGGAGTATTATCAGAATCTGAAGCTGTTACTTGGAGCTTGAATCAGATGGAGGGAAGCTGAATGAGTTGAGGGATGCAAATGGCTGGACCAGGAAATTGAGACTGAGGGTTCTGTCTGTGTTGGAAGCTCCAGCTGAAACCCAGTGATCAGAGCATCAGCCAGAGGATTGAAGAGTTTCGGGTTCAATTCTGGTCAAGGGCTCATAATTCTGTTGCAGGCTCGATCCCCGGTTGGGGCATGTGCAGGAGGTAACCAGTCGATGTGTGTCTTTCACATTAATGTTTCTCTCCCTGTCTCTCCTCCTTCCTTCCACTCTCCCTGAGCATCAGTGGAAAAAAATATCCTCGGGTGAGGATTAACAAAAAACATATAAAATAAAAACTAAGTTGAAATGTCCCCCTGTTGATTGATGTATTGACGTCCCAGCCATGGATGCATCAAAAGCCAGGTGCCAGAGCCAGAAGTAAGTGACCTGCCACACACACATAGGGATGCAATGGCTTACACTTTCCAATATTCCCAGTCATATTGTGTTAATACTTCTGAATTTACTGGAGTTGCAATCGCAATGTCAGTTACAATGGTAAATCCACTGAAAGCTGAGGTCCCCGTGACACGCACCCTGAATAGACGGCTGGGGTGTAGCTGGGTACCGCCCGAGGCTGGCAGCTCTGTATGTTCACAATGAGGGCTTTAGTGTTTCATTTCTCTTCATGTCATTTTGCTAGGGCTGCCATCACTGAGTGCCCCAGTCTGGGTGGCTCACACAATGGACACGCATTTTCTCACAGTTGAGGAGGCTGGAATCCAGTGTCTGCAGGGTTGGTTTTTCCTGTGGCCTCTCTCCTGGATTTGTAGACAGCTGCCTGCCCCTGGGTCCTCACATGGTCTTTCCCCTGTGTGCATGGATCCTTAGTGTCCCTGTGTGTGTCCAAATCTCCTCTTCTTATAAGGACACTGGTCAGATTGGATCAGGACACCCCCTAATGGCTCATTTGAACCCCCAATCACCTCTTTAAAGGCTCTGTCTCCAAATGTTGTCCCAACTGAGGCAGGGGGGGCCAGGGATTCAACCTAGGAATTTGGGGGGCACACAAGGAATTTGGGGGGCACACAATTGAACCCATAACACTCAACAAAGGGAAAAAAGGAGTAAAAACGGATACTATGTATTTGTCTTTCAACATTACTTCCTATCCCTGCTATTGCCTTCCTGTGTAACTCATCTTGATCTACAAGAGGGGCCCCCCAAAAATCACATCCCTCAGACTGAAGACTGGGGACAACATGAGAGATGTCAGGATTGAGCGGCTGTATGTGAACTATAGGACTTGAGTTCCTTTTTTATTTATCTTTTAAAAAATATTTTTATTGATTTCAGAGAGGAAGGGAGAGATAGAAACATCAATGATGAGAGAGAATCATTGATCGGCTGTCTCCTGCACACCCCACACTGGGAGACTGAGCCCACAACCCAGGCATGTGCCCTGACCAGGGACCGAACCATGACCTTCTGGTTCATAGGTCGATGCTCAGCCACTGAGCCACGCCAGCCGGGCTTGAATTCCTTTTATAAAATAGCATATGATTCTCAATGTAACATTTAACTGCTTGTGATTCAGAAGCCACCCCAGTTTGCTACGGACAGCCAGGTTCTAGGCAGAGAAGCAGAAGCCCAGATCCTGGGTGAGCTCTGTTTGGCATCTGCCTCCCACACCTTCCCGCCACACTGTGGAAGGCAAGACTGCCTGCTCTCCTGGCCAGCTTTCCTGCCCTCCTCTCCTCTTCACAGAAGTTCAAAGCCAAGCCCAGCCTCCTGCCTTCCTTCTGCAGGTCCTGCCACTCACCCTAGGAAGCTGCTCAGTGGATCCTCAGAGATAGATATATTTATTTTATATTTTCAGATCTTCTGCTCAGATGAAAAAGAAAAGAAAGGCATTTTTCTTGCAAGGAAACTTGGATTCTCAGTTAAATGTAGAGCAAGGCTTTAACTAATTAGCAGACAACCTATGGAGTAGAAACCACACAAATCGAGTAGACCCTGCAGTTCCCGGGCCCGGGCAGACTTCCCGCTGGGGCAGAGGTGTCCCAGCAGGACCTGTGGAGACTGCGGGAAACACCCAGGACACGTGGCTGCATTTTCCCTCCTGCCTCTGAGCTCTAACGAGATGCAGAGATTCTCACCTGCTGGTTATTACGGAGGCTGAGCTTGTCAAGGTCTCTCTCCAGCCAGTACCAGGGGCCATAGGGCAGCATCAGCCACCGCACAGCCCGGGGAAGTGGCACTTTGCCCGAGTATCGCGTTTAAACGGGAATTAATTTCCACCCCTGTGGGACTTGGAAAGCCCATTCCTAGTTTCAGCTTGAAACATAAATGTGGGAGCAAGTTGTGGGGGAACATGGTGCCCCAACCTGAGTAAGGCACGGTGTCCATAGGGAACATTCTGGAATGGACAGTGTTAAAAAAAAAAGATGGGCATGAGAAGATTTCTCAGGAATGATGTATTTTATTTGACTAGAAAGAAGAGAAATGAGTACCTGCCACTCTCGATCCCCTGAGGCAAACAGCACTGCTCTGCTCCGGGTGTGAGTGCGGCCCCGTACTCCTGTGTGTCTCTGCCACGCACAGTGGGCCGTGCGCCCGTGCCCTTCGCCCTTAGACAGAGAACAGGGCGGCATTTCCAAGAAGGAACGGGCAGCATCCTCATAGTTTCCTTCCCACGTGGCAACGGGACAGGAAAATTCCGCCATTGGAATATGAGTAAGCCCTCAGCACCACCCTGAGCAGGAAAGTCCAGAGAGAGAAAAGTTAAATTGGGGTACTTACAAAAACTCACAGGTTCTTAAGCTAGCTTTTTGTCCTTAATAAAAACAATTGTATTTATTATTTAAAAAATAAATGTAAATAAGCAGAAGCAGGAAAATAGGAATCATGTCTAATCCAGCTTTCCCAAGACACATATTTTTGACACTGGGGTGTGTATACTTTCTGTATGTTCTACACACACACACACACACACACACATGCACATACACACACATACAGAGAGATTTTCTTGTGACTGAATAGTATTCCCCTCATCGTATTTGTTGTCTGAGTATGAATTCATTTTTAAAGCTTTGCTGAGGTTCGGTTGATTCACAGAATAACATAATAATGTGAAGGGTAGGCTCAGTGTGGTTAATCGTTCCCCTATGGTTGAACATTTACATTGTTTTCCATGATTGTGAGAATTTTCCAATCAGCTTTTCATTTAGCAAAATCATTGTGAAAATTCAAATTATCATGTTGGACTGAAATTCCTGATTGAGAGACTGTACCCGTTTTCAAGCCGTTTTAAAACAAGAGCATCCCCACAACTGCTGAAATGCCCTCATCTGTACTTGACCATGCAGTTATGAGTCCGGTCAATGCTGGGCAGATGTTCCCCGAGGGATTCTAGCTTTTCTAAGGAAATCACAGTAAGGTATTGGAGGAGTTCTTCCTAATCTGGGGAATTTACAAGGACTTTTTATTTGCTTGGTTTGAAGTCATTGCTCCCGAATTTGGCCGCATGAGGAACAGTGGAAAGAGTCCCCCAGTTATTTTAGACATAGGCACAGCCCCTGAGCAATGGTCTTCAAAACAAACAACAATCATAGAAACAATCAGTTCCCTCCCCATCCTGTCGTTCACATGACACAGAAGTGAGCACCCTGTGTGCATGTCTCGCTATGTGTGTGTGCTTATAAAAATCATTGACAATGTTCATTCACACACAAACAGTTTCTTATTAAACGTTCATTCTTCGCATCATGTTTTCCATGTGGGCATCGCAGCTGTGGCGTTTCTTCCCTGAGGAAATCGGGGCGTGGCTTGACTGAAGCCTTGGCTTTGATGTTGCCCAGCACCACACTCGGGATGGGTTTGTAGGTTTTATTCATTTAGCAAGTGCATGTTATTTGATGCTGCATACTGCGGACACTGGGTTAGGCACAGGGCAGGGCAGGGGGGTGTATCAAGTGGCAGATGAGTTTCAGACTCTGAGTGACATTCTTTGAAAGGCTGTCTTCACACAAAAGGTGAATTTCTTTTTTGGAAGCCACGTTGTTCGCCTCCAGGGACAGGGATTATCATCTCTAACTCGTGCTCTTGTGTCGGAGAGCTTGGCGTGGTTTATAAACCTGGGCTGCGCTGCAAGGCCCGGCCAGGCCAGAGACTCGCCGCTGGGCCTCCACGTGCAAGTCACCCGGTGCACGGCCTGCACTTCACCTGGAGGAGCAGACTGCTCCCAGGCCCTGCCACAAGGAAGCTGCTCTGTGCGGTCTGCGGGGCCCACCGGCTGTAAAGGCGGCGGGTCTCTCGTGCCCCCTGCCTGCCGGCCTGGGGCATGCACCCTGCCAAGCTCAGGCAGGTCCAAAGGGAGCAGCCCTCTGGGGCCTCCCCAGACATTTGCATCACAAATGCCAAAGGGGCCCACTACCCAGGGCTTTGTCAGGGGTTGTGGGGCGGGAAATTCCTGAAGCTGGATCGCCCTCCACCCCACCCCTCTTGGCTTTGTCTGTGTCTGGGGGTGGAAATGAGAGGGGGTCCCACCGCCCAGGGAGAGAGATTATCTTCCCCTTGGGAAAGGAATGCCATACCTTGGGCTGAAATAAGAGGCTGCTGGCCAGTGCAGAACATCAGCTTTTCCAGAATCATCTGTTCTTCTTGTCCTGTCTCTTTAAAAGCTGGATATTTTGAGAGACACAGAGAGGAAGCCCTCCATTAGGAAAACAGACATCACAACAAAAAAGTTCCTCTTCTGCTCCTGCTTAATGTGCAGCTATCGTGGGAAAGTGGAGGAGTAGGAACACGGTGACTGGTGGCTGAGTTTATCTCCGCAGGCTGGTCAGGGCAACTCTCCAAGGGCAGGGGTGGCCACAGGATGGGGAACACTCGTAAAAACCTCAGGTGCCCAGGCCCCAGGCCAGAAGGCTCTTTTGGGAAATCGCTGTGCCTGCTGTACATATTACTTACGCACACACACACATCATATGATTTATTTTGAAACAGTTCTATTAATAGATAAACGGAGGCATATTGAAAATTCTAAGAATTGATTTGAGCAAAAATCAATTCAGATTGCTCAGTGCCAAACTGGAGGTGGTGAGGAACTCTCTGCCCACAGGAACCTGGGGGGAGAGGCTATTATAGAGAAGAGGCGGGGCAAAACAAGGGAATTATTTGATTGGCTACAGTTAAAGCCTACTTGGCTGTGATTGGTTGAAAACTTGAAAAAGTTAATGGCTTAGGTTTTGGTTTGCTTTCATAGGCCTCCAAGTCACTGGAGCGACCTCAGTCTGCCAGCCTCCTGGCTTAATTTAACAGTCACACACCGAATGGGAAAGTTGCAAGGTCAGGTCCCACCTGTTGTCCCTGTTGTCCTTTCATACAAAGACCCGACTCAAGGTAGCGCCTCGCACCCAGTTGTCCGGCCTTTTCCTAACCTCTCAGTCCGGAGCTGTTTCTCACTGTTCCTTTCACTCATGACTTTGGCACTTTTAAGACTATAGATCAGCCATTTTGTAGAATATCCTCCAGTTTGAGTTTGTTAAAGGGTAATTCATTAAAGTTAATTTTCAGGGAAAGATAAAAGCATGTTTTATATAAAAAATGAACGCATGTTAAAAGAATTCATTTTACTCATGTGAAATGAGAGAGCCAGGCAAAATGTTTTAACCATTTCAAAGGAAAAGTTAAAGGGGCTCAAATTTATTTGCAGCACAGGAATGTTGAAATGAATTGCAAATGGAGATAAAACTGGTTTCTCACCAGCAGGAAGGAAGTCAATTAAATTACTAACAGACAGGACAAAATATACATATGCATCAGTTAGACTATAAGGCAGGAGGAACCTGATAACCCAGAAGAGTATGCTATATAAACACTGCATAATTTTCCATTGAAACACATTGTTTTTCCTACAGTCTTATCCAAAGTTTAGACCCATATGTATGCCTGTGGCTGGGATATCACAGATGCGTGTGTGCATGTTGTTTTTAATTGCATCATATTGATGGCACAGGGTGCCTCTCTGTCTTGTTACTGGTGTTTACTTTGACCCCTTAAGATAGTGCCTTCCGGGGTCTGCATGGTAATGTCGACACCCCTTTGTCAGTAATAATTTTGGAGTAATTTACACCATGGAAAATGGAGAATGGTAAAAATGAGGCTTGTATGTTTTTCCCTGAGAGACTTGGTTCTTCAACAGTACTGGCACACCGCCCTATAGAACAATGTGGACTTACCTGTTCCTGTTTTATTCAGTGGGCTATCCTCTATCATTTATTATGTATTCTGATGCTCAATGTGTCCCAGATCTGGCTGTGGAACCTTCTTCAAGCTGTCTCTGTGTCCTGACCTGCCTCCCATTATTCTGTGAGCATTTCTTTACTTTCTGGCTCAATGAGATGTTCCAGACTTAGCTAAATCTTTCCTTGTCCCAGCCCTGGCAGGAGCCATTGCTCCAAGGAGGCCAGTTCCTTTCAGTGGGAGGTACTGTTCAGCCCTTCCAAGAGGGCCCACCTGTGCCCGAGCCTGTCCCCCTGTGGTCACCTACTCCTTTTACCCAGCTTTTTCAAGGAAGAAGGAAGGAAGCCAATACACTGTTTTGTTTGTGTTGTTGTTGTTGTTGTTGTTGTTTTTATGAAGGGCAGGTAAAGGAGGAGAGGAGGAAGAGGAAGATCTCTTCATATGTTTTTTAAACCCTTGTTTTACCAAAGACTAGATCTGATCTTCTCATGGTCAGTTAGGTTTCTGAAGTGGTTACATTTTATGTGGTTGCAAATGGGAAATTTAACTTCTGAGGAGCCAAATTATTCATCAACTGTTTATTGAGAGCCAGCTCTGCGTGTGCCTGACGTTATAGTGGTGAGTCACAGTGCAGACAGAGCCCTGCCCTCAAGGGGCTCCAGGAAACAGATGTCCTAGGTCATGCAGCTGACGTGTCCTCAGCACATGCAGACATGGGTGGGCTCAGTCTGCCAGGCAGGGAAGTCAGCGCTCAGGGAGGCTTCCCTGGGGCCTTAGAATCAGGACAGCTGGGGTAGGATTTAGCTAGTTGGACAAGGAGGGGTGGGTATTGAATACAGAGGGAAGAACATAATGTCAGAGAGACTTGGCAGACTCGGGGAATGCAAGTGGTTTGACAGGGTTAGAATCAGTTGCTTCCTTATCTTCTTGACCCCAGTGTTTTAAGAAGTATAATCGTCCTTCCTTGCAGACAAGATGTGTCGATTGCACACTTTTCTTGCAGGCTACCATCCCGGAGTCCCATCTATTGTCCAAGACTATTGCCATGTCTCAGGATGCCATCCTTCAGAATTTTATTTCTCTCAAGAAAAGAGAAAGTAAAATCAGTGAGCATTTTACCCAAGAAAGATAATCAACTCCGTTTTTATTGTTGAAGATACGCTTAAGAACAACTCTAGTACTTTTAGGTGTCACCCTTTTCACTGAAAATGTACCTTATTCTTATTATCTCCAGGAATTTCTCCCCCCTCCCCTTGAACACATATTGGTTCTGAGTCAAATGGAGTGGTCTTGTTGCCCTTACTCATAAGTAAATGTAATAGGTTGGTTACAGTAGTTTAACCCTTATGATTGTTTCTTATCATTAGAGAATACCAATCACTATATTACTTTGAATAATATATTACCTCATGGCAGTTAAGTCTTTTTATATCTAATCTTGAGCTTTCCTCAAGATATGTAATTTGTGTAAAAAATGATTGCTTTCAAACATGCTCCTCATATGATTGTTCTTAAATTTTGCAGACGATACCAGAAGTTGCAGAAGATCATGAAGCCATGGTAAGAATTTATGATTGCTTGATTCAGCTTATATAACACGCTCCTTCCTGCATCATTAGTCTCTGTCCTCAGATAGCTGTGCATGTAGATGTTTTGAGTGATTTTATTTTGCTGTTTGATGTTCTTATAAACAGGTTCCTTAAAAATTTATTTCCTCTTTCTTTCTGTTTTGTGGCACAAAGGGAACTTTATGTCTGTAGCCACAGAATGAGTACATCAGGATTGCTACCCTTCTCCTGGGGCAAGGCTGGGCATAATTTCATGTATTGCATTAAACAAAAGCTTTCTTTTTTGTGGCCTATGTGATGTTCAAAGCCATTCTCTTCAATGGCTCAGTAAAAACAAACACCCCACTCAGGATTGAAGTATGGAGTGAAAGTTGTTGACTTTGAGCCTGAGAAAGGGCTGGGTCACCTGCCTGTATGTGCACTGCGTGATGATGTGTCCAGACCCACAGAGCCCCTGTCTTAGAGTCTTTCCTTCCCGGTGCCTTTCTCACCCACTAAACAAGAGGAGTCCAGACAGGGCCTAGAACCTCTCCGTGGTGGGCTTGACACATGTCCGTTCTGCCGAGTTGTTAAGCAGATAATTTCAGTTTGAGAAGGAAGACTGGTTTTTTTAAGCCCTGAGGAAAAAGCCCGGTATCTTCTGGGTAGGTAGTGCTCTTGAATCCTCTATCCTCCCCGCGCCCCCACACAGAGAAGGGTTCGGGGCAGGAACTTGTCAGGTATTACATTGCAGTGAAGTATAGAAAGCCATCTTGAGTTTCTAGGAGAAAGCTCCTTAAGTCTTACTTCGATATATGTTCTTCATATAGGAGGAGCACTTCATGGTGACGAAGTAGGAGCCATCTTTTATGAGAGCTCACTGTCCCAGGCTCCGTCACCTGCTCACACTCATTGCTCTAATTCACACGCACACCCACCACACACAATTAGCAAAATTAGCACCATTTCCTTAGTGCAAAACTACAACCCAGTGGTAGGACTGAGATTTGAACTGAGTTTTCCTCTAATAACTTCATACAACTTGGTAATGGAGAGGAATGTGGGGCTCTGAAGCCAAAATGATATCTTGAAATGTATCTGCCAGGGTTTTGTTCTGTGGGTGTGGAGACTGGAAGGGGGACTACATGTGAACTGTGACTTCTGCTGAGCAGTCATAGACAAAGTCGGTGCTCAGGGCCCTGGTTCCTGAGGTGGAGGAGTAGTTAATCAGATGAAGTCATGAGGCTGTTCTCACCCTGATGGCAAAACTGGACAACACAATACAGGAAACAAAAGTGGTAGATCATCAAATGAACCAGGTGCAACCCATTAACAGTGACAGTCAAGCAGTATATAGGAAGGATAATACTTTGCAGCGAATAAGGTTTTATCCCGGGAAAAGGTTAAAGTTTGAAAGTCAGTCCCTGGGTGTGAATCAGTATTTAGTAAAATAAAGGAGAATAAAATAATCTTAATAGATACAGAAAATAGATGATAGGCACAGAAAAAGTTTTATTAATCCAACATTCATTCATAAAAATTCTCAGCAATCTAGAAATGGAGATAATTTCCTCAACCTGATAAAGGCAGTGGAAAAAATGCATTATTCTTCATGTGAGGAAACTGAATTTCCTCCTCCTAAAGATGGGAAATCAGGCAAATGTGTTTTGCACTTCTGTTCAACATTGTATTGGAGTGTTTAGCCATAGCAATAAGTCAAGAAAGAAATAAAAGACATAATGGTCAGAAAGGAAGAAGTAAAACAACTCTATTTATAGAAGATATGTTTATGTAAAAATTCCAAAGAAATCTATAAAGACATTGCTAGATCTCATAATTGAATTTAGCAAGATTTTTGGATACAACATCGGTATATACAAGTGAGGTATTTTTATACATTAACAGCAAACAACTAGAAAATGAAATTTTAAAACTTTCTTTACAAAGTATCAAAAATCATAAAATTTTTTGGAATAAATTTAACAAGAGACATGCACTGTCTGTTCACTGAAAAATATATTACCGAAAGGAATTAAAGAAGACCTAAGTAAGTGGAGAATGTACCATTTTGTGGTTTAAAATACACAGCATTTTGAAGAGAGCAATTCTTCCTAAATTAATCTGTAAGTTCAATTCAGTACAATTTTTAAAAAAGAAATTATAAATCAATCTTAAAACTTAAAAGAAGTGCATAGACCCTAGAATAGCCTAAACAGTCTTGAAAAACAACAACAAAGACCAACAAAGTTGATGAATTTCAACTGATTTTAAGACTTACTACTCTAAATTTAGTTATTAAGACTTACTACTCTAAATTTAGTTATTAAGACAGTATGATATTGTTATAAGAGGACAAACAGGTCAATGGAATAAAGAGTCCAGAATTGATCCACAGTTAAATTTTAACAACGGAGCCAAAAGATTGTTAGCTGACATAAATCATGCTATGATTCTGAAGGTCAAGGCATTGTCTAGCTGTATAGAAATCCATACATTTCAATGTATATAAACTTTATCACAAACAAAAGAAACTACAGTTAAGTCCTCACTAGCATCATCGATAGGTTCTTGGAACTGTGGCAAAATGTCACAGAAGGAAACCAGTGTTACCACAGACTAATTGATATCAACAAGATTTACGTTTCTACAGCATCTCATCAATGCGATAACAAAATGGCATTGAACTAAGTGACGTTATTCAAGAACGTGCCTGACATGGAAAACTCAAAGGACAGGGCAGGACAGTGTTCATTATCATTGGCCGTTAAGGATACATGGAGTGTGATTTATTGATCACTTTAAAACTGGCCTTTCTTTTCACCTTTCCTCCACTTGTCTTGGCCACGGCCCCCTGTGGAAACATTTGGAAGCACTATTCTTGTATAAACTTAGCAGCATAAATTTAAACGCTACGAGATTGGCTGACATCTGTTGGAATGAAGACAGTCTCTACTGAGTTGATGAGAAACATTGAGTCGGATGTTTCCAGCACACATGGTGTGTTGGCCGGGACCGGGACTCTCCGCCAGCATAGAAAGTTTGCTGTCGGTGTAATTGTGGCAGTCAGTGCTACACAAATTTTAGGTTAGCACTTGATGCAAAATAAATAAGCCAACCAAACAAGAATGCGCCCTCCTGGGCCAGGCCCTTGCTCTGTATTTGCACCTCTTGGGCCTGGATCTTCTCCACCAGCACTGACGTCAGAGCTCAGCCCGTGGCTCCTGCCTCCGCCTCTTTGGAGCCCAGTGTCTCCTCCAGAAATGGACGTAAACCCTGTGTCTGGTGTGCTGAGAGCTCTGTGGCTGCCTCGTTTGAAATGAAGTGATTGCGTCCACTGATTTGGAATGTTAAAACATTTTGCATGGCCGCCCTTTCCTTGCAACTGAGGGTTTGAAGCTGAATTTTGAGAAAGTTCTCCCTCTTAGAAACCTAGTATGCCATCCAGCAAGCCATCAAAATGAATTATATGTTACCTATGCACTATACATATAGCATATAATCTGTGCATTATATATTTAATAACATAATATGCAACACAATATATTTAGACCTAACATATCTAATAACATTTGTATATCATATTATATGTCTAAAACATCTCTATATAATGTGTAATTACATATTAAAACATGTATATAAATGTATGTATACATGTTATTAGGTAATAATTGTGTAACATGTAAATATCCTATAACATTTCTATAAAATGTTATTAGATGGCCCAAGAGAGTAGCCCTTCCTTTGGGCGCTTTGGTGCGATGTGAAGATCTCCCCTCACTTACCAGTCGTTCACACTAAGGATAATTAGCACAGGAAGCCCTGTCCGCTGTATCCGAAATGGTGCTCCCCTCCATGGCCACCTGGAGACTGAAAGCCGGGCCCCAAGTCAACTTGGAGATTTGGAAACCAAACTCTACTCTTTCCCGTTCTCTGCATCCTCTTCCAAAGCCCTTCCAGGAGGAGTCTGTAGGCAGAGCGCCGGAGCACTGGGACGAAGGGCCATCCCCAGATGTGACCACAGGCACATGGATTGTGGGTTCCCTGAGCAGGGCACAGTCCTTTCCCCTCGGGTAACTAGAGAGCGTTCATACCGCGCATCCTTTGCTTCTACAGCAGATAGCGAAGACTAATAGCGCCTCTGACCCCAGCCTCAACCACTACAGGGACTGGAAGGAAGGGTTTGTTCCCAAAAATGTGTGCATTCTTGCCAGGGCCTGTCCGCTGCTTGTTCTGTTAGCAATGACCCGAGGCCGTCTGGGCTCAGTGTGGAGGCCACGGACGTGTCCTCCAGGCGTGGACCTGGGAAACTTGGAGCGTGGACGTCTCTGAGCATGCCTGATGCAGGCAGATGGCAACTCTGAGCAATATGGCTGCTGGTTTTCCTCTTTCCTACGTTAAAAAATTTAGCTAATATTACTTACTACTAGTACTATGCTAAAATAATAAATCAGCTAATAGTTTTATGATGAATATTATAATTCTATAATAATGTATCCACAGTAATACTAATGCCAGCACAATCTTTTAATAAATCTTACTAATTGCTTTATTGCCTGGCTCTCTTATTTTCCTTCCCCTCCCCTCCCACACCCCAATAGATGTTTGTGTTATCTTGACTCATTGCCAATAGAAAGAGTCGTTCTGGGATTTTTGTTTAACCTTTCTTGCTACTCTCTTCATCCCCTGTCTCCTGTTTTTGTTCTCTCCTTAAGGAAGTGTGTTTTCTGGTCTGGAATGTATTTGCTGGGGCTGATCCTCTGATGCCTCTGATGCCACCTAGGGGCACCTGTAGGCTGTGAGTGCCCAGCTGGGACTCAGAAGAGAGCCTTTAAAAGAGTATTTGCTGCTTTTCTATCTGGCCTGAGTGGTTTGGCTTTTCTTGCACGTTTATTTTTCTGGCTCCAAAGACAGATTGTTATGGACACATTGAAGGCAAACACTTGACAATCACAGGCTTCGTTTACCTTTCGAAGCCTCGTTTTGCATGATGGTCCGAGCCAGCAGTCTATGCTGCTTCCTCCATGCCGCACCTGCCTGAAGGTGGCTTCTCTCCCAGCAGTTGTCTGGTTAGGCACCACCACCAGCAGCATCGCCCTTTGTGATAAGTGAGGAAACTGAGGCAGAGATGCACCTCTGATGTCCTGCCTCGAGCTGGAGGGGACCTCCTGCCCTGTGACTGGGGAGCCACCCGCTCACCCGTTTCCGTCCATTGCGTCTCCTCCTCTCTGCCCTCTGGCAGCTTTGGGCAGGGGCCGCTTCTTCTCTCCTGGGTTTCTTTTCAGCGTCACAGCTCCTGGGAGATGCAGGATCCCAAGGTCATTGCTGAGGCTGCGCTGAGAGCACAGGGAGGAAGGGAAACTGTGAAGCTGCTTTAAAGGAAACACGGGCCTGCTTTCTAATCGAGTAATTGACATCTTGTGGTGTAGCAATTGTGGTAAACAGGAGCCTACAGATTGAAAATCTGAACAAGCTACTCTATTTTTAAAAACCAAGCAAATGACTCAGGGCAGTTGTAGGCCGTGTAGAAGTCCCAAGGCCCATGATCCCATGAACTTGGAGAGTCTGAATCTTGAGAGTCTCAGGTTTATTATGATGAGCATTTCCCGTAGAGATGGGTTTCTGTGAGATGCAGGGTGTCTGTTAAAGTGTTGTTTTGAAGGCACCAGAAACCAGGATGTTGTCTGATGGGGGACACAACTGCCTTTACCTGCGCTTTCTGCATCTGTGTGAAATTCTAGTGCTCACCTTAGACCGTCCTCCAGCCACAGGCACCTGCTGCCAGCCAGCAGTCATCTCTCCATGGACACTGTGCAGAGAGAAGATGCTGGCCAGTGGCCAGTGTCACACAGAAACGAGTGTCCTTACCTACATACAGGCTCGTCTCTATGAGCTCGTGTCTGTGTGTGCACCTGGCCAGACACACACACATAGGCACACACACAGATACATGGAGGCCACGCAGATCCTGTGCAAAGTGCTAATACTCTGAAGAGAATCATTCCTCACCTTCCCTGTTGGACACCCATTGCCTGTCTCCGTCACCCTAGCTCATGGCTGAGCTGTCCTTTAAGCCCTCACGTGCCGAATGCTCCCCGCTACTGCTGAGGCTACACGCAGCCCTATGGTTGGATAGAGATCGCTGTCCAGTGCCCTGCTGAACGGACAGGCTCAGAGAGGGGCTGCCTCCGTGCAGCAGGCACAGCTCACCAGGGCGGGGTCACTGTGAGCCCGGTCAGTCCCACTGCGGCCTGGCTCCCTGGGCAGCCTGGGAGGCCGGCCTGCATCCTGTCCCTGGACACGGGTTTGCACCGCATGGTCTGTGGCCCAGCCGCTGACCCCAGTGACCTCTTGCAGCTCTTCTGTGTCTCTCCCCGTGCTCGGCTCCGGGCCTTTGACCATTGTGCCTCCCTGTGTTTTCCAGCTTTGGAGACATGCTGTCCTTCACGCTGACGGCCTTCGTGGAGCTGATGGACCATGGGATCGTGTCCTGGGATACGTTCTCGGTGGCGTTCATTAAGAAGGTAAGGCCCACTGTGCTTCCTTGTGCCTGAGTCCGTCCCTCCCTCCTCCCTCCCTCCCTCCCTCCTTCCCTCCCTCCCTCCCTCCCTCCCTTGTCTCTTGTGACTTTGGTCATCTTGAATGGTACTGGTCAGCTATATTGTAGAAAGCCCTCCAATCTGGGTTTCTGTGGTCCTTCCCTCATGGTCCATGGAAGGCTGTGCCTTTGTGTCAAGAATACCAGAGCAGTAACGTGCCCCCTCCATGCATCCTGGGGGGTACTTGCTGTCCATATGTCTTCATTGGCAAAGCTGACCTTGACCAGGAGGCTGAGGTGGTATCTGCTGAGTGTCCTGTGATGTTATTCCTTGTCCTTTTGAAGTTAACCAACAGCTCGAGGGAGCCGCTGCCTTGAAACGAAAGCCGTCCTGAAGCCCCTCATCTGCTGACTTAGGGTTGGGATCGGAGGCCCCTGCACGATGTTGCATATTTATTTCAGACAAGAGCTGGTTGGGAGCCCAGGGTACTCTTGACAGAACCCCGAGTCCTCTTTCCTTCCACGAGGGCGTTAAGTCAAAGATGACGAGCGATGGGAACAACTTAGAAAATAACCCCAAAGGGCGAGGCCCCCTTTTTGCCTGTATTTGTCAAAATTGCGAAAAGAAGAGGAGTGGCCGTCAGTGAGAAAGCCAAGGACATTCTGACGTGTTCTGAGGGGCTTTCCCGGGGAGGGGGCAGGGAGTGATGATGGAAGCAGAGGACAGACTCTGAATTCTGTGTCTCTCTCCGGTCCAAGTCGGGAGAAGCAGGTTCCATCTGAAGATCCTGCGTTTTGCGGATGTTTGACACTAAGAAACATTGTACCTCGTTCTGAACTATGGCAGCCTTCTTCCTCCAGTCCCGTCGCCTCCTGCCTCTGCTGTGACAGCAGCGCTGCTCTGAGGCTGGCTCCTGGGAGCGATCTTGTGTGTTCACACACCACTTACTGCTTTTGATCCCGGCAGGAGTCCCCTCCAGAGAAGGACAGAGAGTCCTGTGCTTTCTGGTCCGGAGGCCGGAGGCGCGGACACGGTGGCCTTGCCCCCCCCCCCCCGACCTCACCCCCCTTGTGTTCCATGGGGTAAAGATGGCTTCTGAGGACCTGCCCCCCACCCCCACGTTGCCGCTTGTTGAGCCCTCCCTGCCTCCCTGGGTGGGGTGCGGGCATCCCTCCTGCTCTCCACTCCCCTGGGATGTTGGGGGTTGTCCCTGTGCCAGCACGTGTCCTGTTTCTGTGAATTGGGGGTCATTTTTCTGGCTCTCCCGGTGACTCCTAGGGAGGCGGAACCATGGCTTTCTCCCCAACTTTGTCCTCAGAGCCCGGCACAGACCTTAATGCATTTCTGTGAAATGAATGAATGGAATTTGCTTCAGAAGCATTATTTCTTTTTTTTAAATATATTTTTATTGACTTTAGAGAAAGAGGCAGGGAGAGGGAGAGAGAGAAATATCAATGTGAGAGAGAAACATTGATCAGTTGCCTTCGGTAAGTGCCCCAACCTGGCATCAAACCCACAACCCAGGCATGTGCCCTTACTGGGAATCAAACCAGCAACCTTTCGGTGCACAGGACGACGCCCGGCCAACTGAGCCACACCGGCCGGCTCAGAAGCTTTGTTTAAAAGCCAGAACTTGAAGGAGAAGGAGTACAGTGGTTTAGTATTTACACTACGGTGTCGGGTGAATTTCCCGCCAAAATATAAGATGGCGCGGGCAATTATTTAGGTTTCCCGCGCAAAATCAGAGTTAGTTTAAACACGTAATAATATTCACAAAACTCAAAACTAAAGACGTCCGGACACAAGAAGTATTTCTCAATAACTATTCTCTTTGCATGGTGAGATATCCAGGGATATCGGTTATAAAATGAGAAAACAATACATTGGTACCCTAACGGTATTGTACTCGACCAGCGCCATAAAGTGTTCTCTACTTACAAGGGATTTTTATGATACCTATTACCCCAATGGGTATGAAACGGTTCGCATACGCAGGTAGGTATCTTTGTGAACGGCAAACAAACAAATATTTGGTAATACGCAGTTACAATCGGCCCGAGTTTACACGTTTCCCGCACTCCACCGCAAATCTATATGAACCGAGTTAAGACGGCTCCCGCGGAGTACGCGCAATTCACGCGAGCCGACTTAACTCGTTTCCCGCAATCCAAGTGTTTAAATGAATGTCAAGTAGAATTTCAGTGACGGGGGGAAAAAGGGGTCTTCTCTTTTAAACGTTAAGGGCCAACCCGGTTTTGCCTCCCTTTTCCGTTTAGCCCCGAGATAGCCCATTTCACCGACATGCTGGCGGCACCAGTGACCAATGAGATCCGGAGGGAAAGTATAGTGTCAGTCACCGGTGACTGGCATGGCGCTTAACGTGTTAAGTGATGTGAGACATGGTTAGAGAGAATGACAGTAATTTTAATTTGCTAACTGCTTAACACGTTAAGCACCATGTCAGTCACCGGTGACTGAATGGAAAGGAAGACAAAACAGGCTTGGCGCTTAACGTGTTAAGAAAATGGTTTCCATTTGCTGCAATTAAATGAAAAGCCATCTTAAATCTAGTGATGACTAATAAAAAGGGAAGTATTTTTCAGGAGGCAATACATTTCACACACTCGTAGTCCACGTGCTCATTCCCAGGCATTCTCTTTCCCTCGCCTTGCTACTTGGATCTCAACCCCAAGTTGAATTTGAAAAATGGTCATCAGAAAATGGCTTTATAATTGATCGTTTCTCTAAGGTTAACGTCGTTTATTCATTAGCTGGATCAACTTCAGCGCCCTGACAACCCAGAGGTTGTGTGCAGACAACTGTCTTTTAAATGGAGCTTTATCTCGACAAAAATCTGGTGACAAAAGACGCTTATCTCTGCGACACAGACTTGGCTCCCTATTAATGCCAGATTCATGCCACTTTGGAGAAGTGATGTTGCCCCTGCCAGCCCCCGTCTCCCGCTCACTGCTTCATCTGTTGTTCTAGTTCCAAACTTCATTTGCAATAAGTAACATCATTGCAAAAACACTTTGAAACTTGGAATTTCTTTATGCCAGTATGTAATGTTGCTTTTTAAAAAATATTTTTAAAATTGGTTTTAGAGATAGAGGAAGGGAGAGAGACAGAGAGAGAGAACGAGAGAGAGAGAATCAATGTGAGGGTGAGCTTCCTCCGGCACACCCCCTACGGATAACAACCCGGGCATGTGCCCGGATGGGACTCGAACTGGCAACCTCTCGGTGCCGGGGACGACGCCCACCCTCGGAGCACACTGGCCAGGGCCATGTTGTTGCCTTTTAAAGACCTGGCTACCTAAGGAGCAGGTAGGAAGGCGTGGAGAAAAAAGAACGGAATAAAGACACCCCAAGCCCCCAGAACTTTTCTGAGCCACGAGTTGGTTCTCTCCTCGCCAAGGACAGCACCAGGGCCTTTCCTTGGCAGCAGAGCCGCACACAGAGCTCTGGATCCGGCTCTGCAGAAGGCTGGTCCACCCACCGAGCTGCCAGCACTGGACAGGCATCCAGCTGTGTGGCTTAGACCCAGTAATTTTTGCCTCTTACTAGTAAAAACGTGCGAGATTTACGGGCCGCTGCCTGGTGCTTTCAGCCCTGGGAAGGAGCCCAGCGCCCCACGGTGCATTCAGTTGTGGTGACAGAGGAGAATTTAAGACCTCATCTGGAGCAACTCGAAGAGGGTTTACGTGATTTTAATCGCTGGGTCCTTGATTCATGCACTGTGATGGCCCTTAACTTCCTAAAACCACCCAGATCTTCCTCAGTTGTGTTTGGGTAACCTTTTCAACTGGGTGGAAGCGTGCGGGAGCAGTGTGTGTAATTACAGCTGACCCTCTGACCTCCACTTCCTCATGCTGCAGACCTACTTTCCCGAAGCTGGGCTTTGGCTAGGTTAGACTTTATCACCTACGTGGGCCAAAAGTACAGTAACGGAGCTTCAAAAACTTTAAAGAGCCTGGCTGGTGTGGCTATATATGATTGAGCATCGACCTATTAACCAGGAGGTCATGGTTCGATTCCCAGTCAGGGCACGTGCCCGGGTTGCAGGCTCGATCCCCAGTAGAGGGCGTGCAGAAAGCAGCCAATCAATGATTCTCTCTCATCAATGTTTCTATCTCTCCCTCTCCCTTCTTTCTGAAATCAATTTATCCTATATAATAAAAGGCTAATTTGCAAATCAACCGAACGGCAGAACTACCGGTCATTGCACTAACCACCAGGGGCAGACGCTCAATGCAGGAGCTGCCTCCTAGGGTCAGTGTGCTCCCACAGGGGGAGTGCCGCTCAGCCTGAAGCCAGGCTCACAGCTGGTGAGTGCAGCGGTGGTGGCTGGAGCCTCTCCCACCTCCACGGCAGCACTAAGGATGTCCAACTGACGGCTTAGGCCCACTTGGCCTAAGCCGTCAGTCGGACATCCCCCAAGGGCTCCCAGACTGCAAGAGGGCATAGGCTGGACTGAGGGACCCCCACCCCCACCCCCCAGTGCACAAATTTTGTGCACCAGGCCTCTAGTATAAGTTTATATATATATATATATATATATATATATATATAATTTAAAGGCAAAGTCTCTGCTAGACTATAAGGTCCTTGAAATTAAAAATCCTGTGGATTTTGCTCCTTTCTCTTTTCAGATCGCAGGGCAGCGCGAGCCTGTTTGGTGGCACACAGTGAATGCCTGTGACTCCAATGAATGGAGAGAGAGGGTGGAGGCTGGCAGGTGGGGAGGGAGCTCTCAGGTGGAAAATTCTCCAAGGAGCCGTAAGGATACATGCAAATTTATGAAATGGAGACGAGAAAAGGGGAGTGGAGGGAGGAGAGAAGGAGTGCAGAGGACATGAGCAGCATCATCAGCGAGCGGCTTTGGGAGTTCTTCCATTTCCCAGCAGGCGCCTGAGAATGTGCTGGGGTAGCAGAAAGGGGTGGGATGGTGTGGACAGGGGAGCGACAGCATTTCTCTTTACTTAGAGGAGGTCTAAGAGAAGTGTTAAACATGAGCACAGTATGGGAGGATTGGCTTTCTCTCAGAGAAAGGCGGCCTTAAGAAGAAAGGCAGTCTTGGCAGGTAGAGTTGGTCCAATGGAGCAGACTGAGGAGGAAGGTGCGGGCTTTCCAGGGCCAGTAAACACGTCGGAGAAGTTTATTGGCCGTGAAATGGGCAAAAGCAGTTGACGATGGGCCAGTGGAGTTCTTTTGAGAATCTTAAATGTCTCGTATTCTTTCCTGTAGTTTATATCATAAAATAATAGCGTTTGGAATATAACGTCGTAATGTTACTGTGCTTTGCGTCATTTATTTCACACCCTCTGAAATCCAGATGTCTGTGGGGGACGGGTGGAGGCTGGTGTCAGTACTCTTACCCCAGCTTTCACAGGGAGTCGCTGGGCTGGGAACAGTTGAGATGGTCCCAGCGCATTGCCAGGGATGCCTGGGCCTTTTGTCTCGTGCAGGGCTGGAGAGGGGATGCGGAGAAGTGGTGGTGGGGGGGCGGGGTGCGGCATAGAGGAGACATTAGTGTCGACAGAGGGAAGCAGCAAGCTCCCATTTGTCATAGGACCACATTATGCAGCTTTGAAGAGCAGTCATTATGCTGCTATAATAACAGCCTTCGTGTGCATTGTCACCAGACAGCAATAACTTTTAACGAGGCCTCTAAAATAAAACCTTTATGCGACCCATTATTCTAACCCTTATTTTGTGTCTCCCTTATGTTGTGATTTATGTTGGAGGCCTCAGCGATTAATTCCTTAGGGAATGCATTTCAGAGCCTAAACTGTGATTTTAACTTTCCACACTGCTAATTTAAAGGTTTTCCTGTTTGCTAACTTTTGGAGAGATGAGGAGAGTTTATTTTAACCATTTAAAATGAGAGTGTCGGGGAAAGCGTGCTCCGTGGAGGGATCGCAGGCCAGTAGCCTGTGACGGAGAAGTTGCCAGTTGACTTGTGTCGACAAGTGTGATTTGTGCGAGTCCCTGAAGAATGTAACAGGATCATAACCAGCACATAAAGGCATGGATCCATGGGTAGTGGAGTGGCCTGGGAATGGAGAGAATGGCTGTTTGTATAAGTGGAAATTATTGTCTCAGAGAAACACAGGCGTCCTCACACTGCATAGTTGGTCTTCCGTATCAGTGGGTTTCACATTCACGGATTCAGCCAACCACAGATAGAAAATATTCGGGGGAAAGAAATTCCAGAAAGTTTTGACAAGCAAAACAGGCGTCAAGCCTGCGCTGAATGCACTCAGATGCAGGGGCGTGTAGGTATAGCCTGCTGTGGCCCGTATGCAAACATGCGGCAGCAAATACTGCTCCATTTTATGTAGAGGACCTAAGCGCCCATGGGTTTTATCCGAGGGGGTCTCAGAACCAGTACCCCTCTGACACACAGGGACGGTTGCATGTGTTGGAATTGTTTGCTCCAAAAGTTGAAACGCAGAATAATCCTGGAAAAATTAGACCAAGTCATTCTTTGAAGCTGTCCCCCTGTGAAGGTTGCTTACAATGGAATTGCAGAAATGGGGTGCACATAGCGCTTTGTGGTGATGTCCTGAAGCATCCTGTTGGCTCCACACGCCCCTGGCTGTTCCGCTGTCCATGCGGGTATTTGTACCCCCAGTGTCTGGTGTTTCCTATCCGAGCTCCCGATTTCCCTGACTCGCTCCCTTCTGTCCTTCTCTGCCCTGCTGAGCACGAACAGTCACCTGTGTCCCGCTTGGGTTTTCAGATTGCGAGTTTCGTCAACAAGTCGGGCATGGATACCTCCATTCTGCAGCGGTCCTTGGCCATCTTGGAGTCCATGGTGCTCAACAGCCACGACCTCTACCAGAAGGTGGCGCAGGAGATCACCATTGGCCAGCTCATCCCCCATCTGCAAGGGTAAGCGCGAGGCCCCTGCACGGGCCTGGAGATGCTCAGCAGGTAATGCTGGGAAATCTGTCTATCGCCAGCCCTCTCGCACTGCAATGGCAGTTGCTTGCCGCTTGGTGAGTGCCGTGCCCATTCTTGGCACTGTCCTGGCCGCAGTGCCTGGCCCTCAGTAGGCACACAATTTTGATCAGTGTTGGAAGATAGCCACAGTTTTACTTTTTTTAAAAAAAACATATGTTTATTGATTTCAGAGAGGAAGGGAGAGGGAGAGAGATAGGAACATCAGTGCTGAGAGAGAATAGATTGTGGCCTCAGGGAAAATTAGCACACGTTCTGAAATGATGTTTTTGCATGAAACCTCTCTAGGAATAGCGGCGCTTTCACAGTCCCCTGCATGTGAAGTGTCTCTTTCTTCTGAACCTCGAGGGCACATTTGTGTGTCCACAGTGCACTTCCTCAAAGAGGAGACTTCCTTGTTGCCAAGCGTTGTGCTGAGGGTCTTAGGCACATTCCCTCACTTTGTTCTGAAAGCAGCCTCTGGGAATAAGTGTTGCTACCCAATGCTGCGGATGCGGGAACCGTGCCTTAGGGACACGCCAGGAACTCGCCCAAGGCCACACAGCCAGGCGGGGCGCCCTGGGCCTGACCTTCATTCTGCCCAAGGCGTGTTCCCAGGGCCCCTCTCCCAATTGTCTGTTTGAGTAGCTCATAGCTGCTCTGGCTTATGCCTGAGCTCTCCTTACTTATTTACTGTTGCCCAGGTGGCTTCCATTAGAGCGTCCCTCCACTTGCAATTTCTGACTTCATTCCAGTGAAAAGCCAATGTGTAAACATAAAAACCTGATCTTCTTGTCATTAGAAAGTTTCTTTTTGGAAGTAGATGTTTAGGATATGTCATATCATTGCCATGGAGACAAAGCTGCTTCCTTTATAATAAGGCTAGGACTTGGGGTCAGCCAGGTCTCCTCCCAGATGTACTTCATGCATCAGACTGAACACACACACACACACATACACATACAACGAGACACACACACACACAGAGACACACACACACGTTTCATCCACTGAGTTCACACTTTCCTTTTTTAAAATATATTTTTATTGATTTCAGAGAGGAAGGGAGAGGAAGATAGAGATAGAAACATCAATGATGAGAGAGAATCATTGATTGGCTGCCTCCTGCAGACCCCACACTGGGGATCGAGCCCACAACCCGGGCATATGCCCTGACCGGGAATCGAACCATGACCTCCTGGTTCATAGGTCGATGCACAACCACTGAGCCATGTCAGCCGGGCTGAGTTCACCCTTTCATCCTAGCAGAGGGGGCGGGGGAGGGCCTGCTGGCCACCTGTGCTTTCTGGGTGACCTCCCCCAGCAGTGTGTGTCCGATGGGCTATAGTAATTGCCGCCTCACCATTGTGTTTCCAGCCTCGTGATGATCGGAGTACATTCTCAGTGCCACTGTGTTTCTGGGGCCTGCCTTCCTCTCTCCCTCTCTGGGGGGCGGTGACCGTAAACTGACACAGGCATAGCTTCTTGACTTTCTGTGTTGTCTGCCTCTTACAGGACAGACCAGGAGATCCAGACCTACACCATCGCCGTGATCAACGCCCTTTTCCTGAAGGCGCCCGACGAGAGGAGGCAGGTAGGTGGCATGTCTTTGTCTGAAGACCGTGCCCAGGATTGGCAGCTGTGGGTGCAGAGAGAGCCTCCCCTGCCCGTCCCAGGGACTCCCTGGGCCTCCTGCTGCTCTGTGGCCCGGCTGGCCAGCCCGGGACCATTCCCAAACCCAGGGGGCCCAAGCGGGCATGGGCAGGCCCGTCTGAGGGAGAAGGCTAGGAATGTCCCCATGGCAGAGCGTTTCATCAAACAAAGCCAGTGCAGACGCCCCAAACAAACCCATGGCAGCCCTGCGGCCGCGGTGGGAGCAGAGGAGGAAGCCCTGTGACCTTGTCGTGTCACTGACTGCTCATCGGGCAAGGAGGGCATTGTGCCTACTTTTCTGATGAGGAAACTGAGACCCTGAGAGGTGTCAGCTGTGCCCCAGGGCCTGTGGGGTGGGAGGTGGGTGAACACACAGGTTGCTGCCACGGGTTGAACTAAACGCTCATGTGTCCACGGGCTCCTTGCTGGTGGTATTTCTGCCGTCTGTGCGTGGCCGCAGCTGGGAGGGTGGGCGGTTCCTCCCCCTCTCCCGTGAGTGTGCCATGGACACCTACCCTCCGAGACTCTTTTTTCTGTTGATCCTGGGTTTTCTTCAACTGAGAAAGCATCGTTCAAGAGGGTGTGTGAAGAGTAGAGTTTTTGTCTTGAGATCTAGCTCACACCTCAAAATCCGTTCATGTGTTTTCACATCAATGTAAAACACTGGGTTACCTCCGTCACAAGTCACGGGTGGAAATACTGGGTGGAAATGTGAGATCTTTCCTTAGAAAGTGCGCTGGGGACTCTAGGATGGTTACAAAACGTTGGCTGAGATGAATTTAGAAAGCTAGCATGCTACTAGCCTCAGTGTCAAGAGTTGTATTTTTTTAATTTCACTTTTTTCACTGTCAGGTTTATAAACTTCAGTGACTAACGATGAAGGTTTCTGATTCGTCTTCCGTGTAGGATTTTGCTCATCCCAGGACTGCTTTTGCACAGTGAGGGAGTGGCTTAGAGTTGCGTGCGCACTTCGTTTGCTGTTGGAAGACGCGGGAAGAGGACTTAGCATTAGATTTCGACTTTGGTGCCCTCCAGCCCTTTGGTGCCCCTCACAGTGTTTCCACGTGATTCTCGCCGTGCAGTGGGTCTCGGGGCACTAACCTCGCTGCGCCCTCTCACAGTCTCTCACTCTCCGCCCTCCTCTCTCCCGCTTGCTCTCCTTCCCGTGGTGGCCCTGGCGCTGCCAGGCTGGTGTGGACAGCAGTGTGGACATCCTTGATTGTCCTCTGACTGTAAGTCCCCAGCGCCCTCGTTGGCACCAAGCGAGCCCCGAGCGTTCCTCCGAGCCTGCCCACCCCGCCTGAGCCCCGGTCCTGACCCCCACCCCACGTCCTGCCTTCTCCCTGCTTTCTGCAAGTTTCTTTTAACCTGGAATTCGTGGCTGTGCTTCTGAATCTGGGTTGAGAGTCTTCTCCACTCGGCAAGAGTAGCAACACTGAATGCGTTCCCCCCAAAACCCCACATCCCAGCGTCTTCCTGAATGTGAGCAGTATTTCCGTTTTTGAATGTTGGCAACAAGATTGTGTCCAACTATTAACTTTCCCCTGGGTGCCCACGTGTCAATCTTAAGAAAGGGCATCTGGGACTCCTTCCGTCTCAAAGTCACCGCAGACCCGTGTGCCAGCCGGGGCCCCCAGCGCGAGCCGCAGAGCGTGGGCTGGCGGTGCCCAGTGTGGGCTCTGCGGCCGAGCATCTGCCCAGGTGTCCGGACTTGGCTGGGACCCGGCCACTCATTCACTCGCACAGACCACTATCGAGTGCTGGGGTGCGGATTTGCTCAGGTTGAGAGGAGAAGTAAGACGTGGATCTTTAAAGTGATGCTTCTCTACCGTTGAAGCTCAGGGTGCAGGCCTCTGAGTCACCTGTAGAGTCACGGAGCAGCGAGCCTCTCCCCCGGGGACCGTGCTTTCCCTCGCAGAGCTCAGTGTGCATGCAGCACCCACCTTTTCCTGGGAGGAAGAAGTGCCTTAAAAAGAGAAAAGACTGCAGGCACCAGGGTTCCTTCCTTTGCTGTGGACATGGCCTTGTTTGCCCAACAGAACATTCAAAAAGTCACCTGAACACCCCTCCTCTGTGAGTCCCTTCTCCCCGAGAAATACTGCTGACGCCCCGTTAGGAGGCTCCCGGGGCCAGTCCTTTCGGAGCCTGTGGAAGCGGATCTGTCTAACCTCGGCGCTCATGGGGGTGCTTTCCGTCCACAGGAGATGGCCAATATTCTAGCCCAGAAGCAGCTGCGCTCCATCATCCTGACGGTGAGTCTCAGGAGCCGTGTCCGCGGGATCGGGGAGGTGGGCCGGTGCATGTGTATCTCCTCCTGCGGCCTTAGTCCTGCTTCGTTCTGTGACTCGCTTCTGTGGGGAGACAGGAGGAACCAGAAAGCAGGCAGCAAGGCGCTTACGGAAGTGGAATGAACAAGGCTTCCCACGGGAATGGCCTCTCTGGGTGGAGGGAGGGGTCTCTGTGTGCAGGGGGAGCAGAGGGCACGGGACATGCCCTGGCGCCTTGGCCCTCTAACCAAGGCGGTGTGCCTGAGACGAGGGGACCATGCAGAGAGCTGAGGATGCCGCCACAGGGTGTTCCTGCTCGCAGCGGGGGACAGACGGTGCACATGCGCTTAAGTGTGTTTGCCAGCGTCGCTCCCTACTCCTGCCGCTGACAGTGATCCCACTTCTGAATGGGGGAAAATTCCAGAAGCAACGCACACAGGCAAAGTACCCACCAGACCTGTGGTTAATTCACTGTGAGAGCTATGGGGAGATCCCACTGCCACCCCAGCGCAGTGAGTGAATTCCTGGGCATTGCTTCACTCGCCTGTTAACTGACAGTAAAATGCTTTAGAGAAAGAACATTCTGGCAGGAAGGGCCGGGGCCTCTCAGGGGGCGGGTTTATTACACTCACCATGGTGTTAGCTTTGCTACAACTTAGATGTAAGAAAATCGGGGGTTCTGTGACTTAAAAGGTTTATGAGCCCGGCCGGTGTGGCTCAGTGGTTAAGCGTTGACCCATGAACCAGGAGGTCACATTTTGATTCCCAGTCAGGGCACATGCCCAGGTTGTGGGTTCCATCCCCAGTGTGGGGTGTGCAGGAGGCAGGCAATCGATGATTCTCTCTCATCATTGATGTTCCTCTCTCTCTCCCTCTCTCTGAAATCAATAAAAACATTTTTTAAAAAAAGGTTTATGAGTTTGAGCTTATACAGTTTCTAATGGGGGAGCTAGCTGGAAATAAACACATCAGACCCTGAAATTTTACCATCATTTCCCTGGGCCCCTTTACAGAGAGAGACAGAAAAGGCGTCCATGGAGACTACTGAGTGTAAGCGTGACCAGAAACCTCGGTGGGAGAGAGGCCTTACGGGGAGGCTGTGAACGTGTGAAAACGAGTCCAATAGCAGGATCTCCTGAGGCCTTATCGGCTACTTGACTTTTAACTAGAGGCTGAAAGACGTGTGTGTGAGTGATTTCAGCGAGGAGTTCTGTAAGCCCGGCCACACACGCACACACGTGTGCACACACACACGCCCATTCCAATACAGTGAGGCCATTAACAATTAAAAACCTTATGAGGGCAAACAAAATAAATATTCTAGAACCCAAAGCCCATAGTAATAAGTACAATTTGTCATTGGGTTTGATGTTAAACATCCTGGCTGTCTACGATAAAGAGAAACATATGAGTGTAATTTTCATTGTTGGACCACAGAGGTACCCCCGTTCTTGAGGGATGACACACTTTCCCTCCTGGAACCGGAATCTGAACTGGGTGTCGCTGGGGCTTTAGAGTAGACGCCAGGTCCCAGAATGGCTTGTGGGAAATTTCGGGAGGTTTCCTAATACGGTGATTTTTCGCACTGGCTCTCAATACCCGCGGAAGCTGTAATGCTGAGGCACGGTTCAGTGAGGGTGTTTGGGGGGGCGAGGGGGGAGAGGCAGGGCTAGAAGTGAGGAATGGAGGTCTCGGCCTGTGGTTGACATCGCTATGGTGCCAGGGATGGGGCGGGTGGAGTGACGGTAGCCCCCATGTTTCAAAGATCAGCTTACCTCAGGGGGATTTCTTCGGTGAGGCTGTGATGGCCCAAAGCTCACGGTTGGCATTCTCTGGCAAGAAGCTGGCGTGAAGACACTTTGGAGTTGCTACTAAAATAGATACAGTAGCCATACACGTTAGCAGCCACACCCTTTGTCTTTTATTCTCAGTTATCATTGACATTCGGTAGTAGTTTGTATTGGTTTCATGTGTACAGCAAAGTGGTTAGGTAATCATATACATTGCAAAGTGATCCCCCAATATTTCCAGTCCCCACCTGGCACCATGCATAGTTGTTTCAGTGTTATTGATTATATTCCCTATGCTCTTCATCACACCCCGGGACTATTGTGTAACTACCATTTATACTTCTTACTCTCTTCACCTTTTTATCCAGCCCCCAGCCCCGCTCCCCGCTGGCAGCCATCAGTCTGTTCTCTGTATCTGAGTCTATTTCTATCTTGTTTGCCAGTTTATTTTGTCTTCTGGATTCCACATACGAGTGAAGTCACATGGCATTCTCTTTCTCTGATTTCTTTCACTCAGCACAGTGCCCTCTAGGGCAATCCATACTGTCTCAAGATTAGTACGGTGGTAAGATTAGACCACCTTCTGACACCACATACAGAATAAACCCCAAATGGAGTAAAGACTTAAATGTCAACACCCATAAACTTTGGGTATTGAATGATACTATGGATTCACATTCTGTTCTGGAGACTAAAGGATACGGGATTTTATTCTACTCTGCCATCCATTCCCTAGCTTCCCACCCCCTCACCTCCATAATTTTGGGTCTGTCACTTCCTTCCATCCCCCCCCCCTTCTTTAATTGGCTGTTTGGATGTGGCACTCAAGGCCAGGCTGTGGAGTTCAGTGCACGCCAGGCTGGGGCACCTGGAGAAAGTTCTTTCAGACAGCAAGGCATGGCGGGGCCTCGCATACCCAAAACACCTGGTGCGAATGGTCGTCTCCCGACATTTCCAGTCCTGTTTAAGGCAGCGCCGTGGTCTCTGCCAGAGAGGATGTATGTTAGGGTCCAGGGCTGAACCCCATTTCAGACCCAGCTCCGGGGGACCGAGGACAAAGGCCCACCTATTTAGGCTCATGCCATTCCTTTTATACGTGTTCCCTTTGGTGCTGTTTCTAAGAGGAGGTGTCCTTTTACTGTCAGTTGTTAACAGGCGAGTGAAGCAATGCCCAGGAATTCACTCACTGTGCTGGGGTGGCAGTGGGGGGCTCCCTATAGCTCTCACAGTGGATTAGCCACAGGTCTGGTAGGTACTTTGCCTGTGTGTGTCGCTTCTGGAATTTCCCCCATTCAGAAGTGGGATCACCTGTCAGCGGCAGGAGTAGGGAGCGATGCTGGCAAACACACTTAAGCGCATGTGCACCGTCTATCCCCCCCGCTGCGAGCAGGAACGCCCTGTGGCGGCATCCTCAGCTCTCTGCATGGTCCCCTCGTCTCAGGCACACCGCCTTGGTTAGAGGGCCAAGGTGCCAGGGCATGTCCCGTGCCCCTCTGCTCCCCCTGCACACAACACAGCAGGTCTTTTCCCAGTTTCCGGCCTAAAGATCTAGAAACCTTATTGGGCCCTGGAATGTAAAGGTGAGCTTCAAGGTCACCTTTGTCCTCTCCTTTCTTCTGAAGCGTAGTCCCACCAAACTAGGCCCCCCTGGCCTCCAAACGAAGACTTCTGAGGTTCTGCTTGGCGTAATGATGGGGGTTAACTTCTGAGGTTCTGCCTGGCATAGTGATGGGGTTAACTTCTGCTGTTTCCTTTTCTTTTCCCTTTGTGAATCCTCTCCCCAGCACGTCATCCGAGCGCAGCGGGCCATCAACAACGAAATGGCGCATCAGCTGTACGTGCTGCAGGTGCTCACCTTTAACCTCCTGGAGGACAGGATGATGACCAAGATGGACCCCCAGGACCAGGTGAGTGCTCATGGCCAGCAGCGCAGGCACACGGAGGCGAGAACGTGTCTTGGGCTTCTCCGAAACCAGGAGATTTTAGACGATCATATGATTGACTTATTGCCATCTCAGAACTTGGGGGAATGGATTGGAATTTCAGGTGAATCTAGGATCAGAACATAATGAATGGATTATTTCATTATGCTTCAAGTACATGCACACTCTTTCTTTCTTGGATCAGACAGCTTGACATCACGTGGCCATTGACCGTGGCCCTTGGCCCCCAGACCCTCAATGTAATAGCTTTGGTCAAGTTCCCAGACAACAGGGGCCACTAGGAGCTCTGTGTGACCTGAGCCTGCAGGTGGAGGAAGTGGCTTTCATTCTCCACTGCTCAGTCTGGAGCTGGGGCCCCAGGTCACCTGCTTTCAGGGCTCGCACGGGTGCTGGATGGCCACCTGCTGAAGTTCTCCTCAGGCCTCTGGTGGTTGTGCACGGAAGGTCGTGTCGCCCGCCCTCCAGCAGGCCCCGGGGGACTTAGGGCGTGAGGCAGAGTCTGGGGAGCAGCGGGAGCCCCGCTGTGCACATGCGCAGCTTCAGCAGCTCGGGAAGGAAACACTCGTCCTCGGCACGGGCGGGCCTGATGGGTCGCAGATGTGCCTGCACATGTGAAGTGTGTAACCGCCCGGGCTTCCTGCGTGGCGCGGGGCCATGTGGCTGAGCGTGACGGAGAGGCTGGGAGGGCCACCTCACGCGCCCAGACTCTTGGCCAGGCCGAGCGCTCCTCTCAGAGGCAGGGAGGGGACTGTCATTCACCACTTCTGGTGAAGCGGGCAAGGCATGTGAGTGCCAACAGCCTCCCTGTTAGAAACCCTGCCTTTTATTCATTTAGAATCTCTTTGTTATTATGGTAAAATATACATAAAATCGACCATTTTCACCATTTTATTTTATTTAAAAAAATATATTTTTACTGGTTTCAGAGAGGAAGGGAGAGGGAGAGAGAGATAGAAACATCAGTGATGAGAGAGAATCATTGATTGGCTGCCTCCTGAACGCCCCACACCAGGGATCAAGCCTGCAACCCAGGCATGTGCCTTGACCAGGAATCAAACTGTGACCTCCTGGTTCATAGATCAATACTCAGTCACTCCGGCCAGGCCATCTTCCCCATGTTAAAGTGTTTCTTTCTACAAAGGCACTCTAAGTGGAGTTAGGCATCCCTCGTCATCGGAATACTGTTCATAAACACTGTGTACCTCTCACTGTGCTTCTAACAGTACGTTACCCCTGGGTTCTCCAAGGTGGCTTCCTCCAGTCACACGCCTTCCATCATGCTGGGGCTCCTTTAAGAACTCCAGATCCTGGATAGAAGTTCTCCCAGGGACTTGGCTGGGGGAGCATGTGGCAGAGAGCCAGGGCGGCCCCGCAGGGGAGCGGCAGGCGAGGAGGAGTGTGCAGAGCCCACGTTCACAGCACCGATGTCTGTATCTGCCGCCGTTTCTCCTGGATGCGGTGATTCCAGGGGCCCTAGGGAGCAGGAACGTATGTCATGCCCCACAATGAAAGCGGCTCTTTCCTCCTCTTCTCCCCCAAACCCCACAGGCTCAGAGGGACATCATATTTGAACTTCGAAGAATCGCTTTTGACGCGGAGCCTGAGCCCAACGCGAGCAGCGGCAGCATGGAGAAGCGCAAGTCCATGTACACGCGGGACTACAAGAAACTCGGCTTCATCGTAAGTGCGCCCCACCCGCGAGGCCCGTCCTCCCAGCCGTGGGGTGGCCTCAGCCGCCGCTGACGTCCCTCCGAGCGTGTGGTCCGCTTGCGCCTTAGAATCATTTTCACATTTTCCAGATGTTTTGCTGGTTTAAACAGGATCATGTGCAAATCTCTGCTGGCTGTAGCGACGTGGAATAACTTGCACAAGTGTGACTAATACTGAGCTTGTTTATCCAGCCCAGATTAAGTGTAGCCACGCGCGCTGAGCCCGGAGGCCTCTCGACCTCATTCAAGCTTCATGAGGTGCTTAGGGCTCTATCTGGAATGAAGGTGGGGCGGGGGTGGCGACCGGCGACCGTGGGGTGGAATCCCTGGGTTAGAGATTGGGTTACTCACACACATCATTTCTTATCAGAATCGGACTGAAATCTCCTGAAATTCAAGCACAAGGAAATTGATGTAACAGATAATTTCCTAAAAGTTTTGTCTTGCTGTGAATGCTAATAAGACGTCTCTGAGATTTTTCTCTTTTCCAATCTGCAAATCAGAACACAGCTTGAACCGAGTGTGAATCTGCCTCACTCCCGAGTTTGCCACCATCACGTTTCTGTGTGGCCTTGAGCTGATTGAGCTCACATTCTGCAGGTGTGAAGTTGGGTTTCTATTTTGCCCTCCGTCATAAATGACAAAAAATGAGGTTTGGGCTCTAGTGATTATCAATCATCAGACATTATTTGATAATTGCAAGCACTCTTCCTTGAATACACACACACAAACACACACACACACACACACACATATTGATGTTATACACATTGACGTCATGCTTTATGCATTGTTTGGGAAACCTTGTCTTTCGTGGGAACGCTCTTTGCTTTTCATATCAGTTCACAGGTGCTGGTTTTCATTACGGAGCAGTTTTTCATTAGTTGGATGTATTACAGTTTCTTAGCCAAACCCTTTTTCTGTGTTTCAATGCTTTGAAATTACCATCAAGTCTATAATGAACATTGTTGCTGCCCTTTTCTGCACGTCCATGAGTGTACTACCAGGGTAAATGGGTGGGGCTGTCGTTTATACGGAACATAGTTATAAGGCTTCCGATGTTACCGGATTGCTTTGGGTATTTTCCACCTTAACCAGCAGTGGCTCAGAGACGATGTTTTTGAAACTCTCCGATGATGTCTGTTAAACTTAAAAACACATCTAACAGTCTGAGTTACTGTTTTCATAGTGGCAGTCTGAGCGCATCTTTTCTCATCGGAATACTTGTCAAATGTTGCCTTCACCTCTGCAGCATGCTTGGCAGAAGTATTCCATCATTTCTGTTCCACCACATCCTGTCTCAGTGGTGACATTACATTTGATCTTTTAGATGAATCTGTTACGTTTTGGTCTTAGAGTTTAGCAACCAGTTTCTGACTGGTGGGCCGGGTGAGAGTTTCCTGTGCTGGGTGTGTGGATGCTCAGGTGTGTGGGTGGCCCTGGCCCTGCTCACACCTACCTGCTTGTTGGCAGGGCCCGTTTTCCAGGGATTTAGCCAAGGGAATGTGGGTGGGGCTCACATTCGACCTCACCCCCAGTTCCTTCCAAGTTGCACCTTTGTGTGTTGAGCAAGGTGTGTCCAATCACCAGGGAAGCTTTGCAAACTCACCCCATCCTTCTTACCCTTAACTCCTATCACGGCCAGGGCACGTGCATTCCATTGCCTGAGTCAGTCCGCATGTCCCGGTGGGAGGTGCGCCTGAGTTATGCCATTTCACCTGCCTCCTTCAGCTACACCCTGGATTTCCAGTGCGTTTAAACCACGTGGAAAAATGCAAAATTCCAGCTCTTTACACCGACTGCTTCCTAGGCCCAGATCTTCTTGTGTCTCTACCCCAGTCCTGGTGGCTTTTGCAGGGGGGCAGCTGGATCCCAGAATGTTCAATGTCGTTTCTCCTCTGCCCGTATGTGAGGGACAGAGAAGGAGGGACAAACTGGGTGGGACTCGGGCTGTCTCAGGGTCTGGGATTATTTCAGATCCCTAAGGGTGTTCAGAACGGGGGTGGGTAGGAAGCCCCTCCTCATCACGCCTGGCCCTGTGTGAAGTCACCGATTTCCGGAGGCAGCTCACGCGCCGTCACATGACTGTTCTTTCCCCACAGTCCGTTTCTCGGTCTTACTCTCAGCGTTCCCCGAGTGTTCTGTTTCATACGTATTTTATGAAAAACAATGCATATTCTTAAAACTGGAAGTTCATTTGATGTACTTCTAAGGCCTTCACCACGTCTGAGGCCTCCTCTCTCAGGGCTTGAAAAGTGATTTTAGAAAAAGCAAAGACCTTGGGCAGAGAATAACCAAAAGAGCGTGTTGGTTTCCCTTGTTCTTCCTTGGCCTTTTTTTCAGTTTCATTGTTTAGTCTCTCCCATGTGCGAGTTGAGAAGTTGGAAAGACTAGTTAGCAATGGTTTCTAATTCCAGCGGCTCTGACCCACAGAGGCTTGTGCTGTTGAACAAGTGGGCCAACCAGAAATAGACAAGCCTCAGTGGAGGGAACCGCGGGCTGACGGCGCCACCTGGAGGCCGCCCTGCAGAAGCGCTGGGAGCGGTTGGGCTCAGTGTCTTGTCACAAAGCTCCCTGGGCAGAGCTCGGCTCTCACATCAGGAAGGGCCTGGCCTGCTAACTCCTCGCTGAGCTCCTCCCTGCCAGCTCCGTCAGCAGCATCTGAGGTTGGGATAATCTTTGGAAATGTTAAATGACAAGTGTGGGGAGTCGAGTGGGCCCAGATTTTAATTCTGTCTTTCCTGCTTCCCCTTGTACTTTTATGTCGTGGAGACGGCTTTTCCCCTTAAATCTCATGAACCAACCTCTGCCAGCTTCACACTTTTCTCCTGCAGCTTCCTGTCTCCAAGGAGTGAGCTAACCCTGGGGACCCAAGATTTCAAAGCACCAGGAAAAAAAATTAGGAAGGATTAATGCAGATTTACATTCAGATTTTTAAAGCGTTTTTCTACCTTTTTGAGTGACAGGAGATAACTACTCATCATTATGCAGGTATAATTATACATCTTTACAGATGCAGTGTTTGCTGTCACTCGCTATGTTTTTTCTGCAAAACAGATGGCAGGGAATGAGGTGAGATGCGTATTTGTACATCGCTTCCTCCATCTCCATCCTGGCCCCTGGTCCCAGACCACAGAAGGAAGCATCTTGTCTAAATGCTCCTAGAGTTCAGCCATCACCGTGACTGTGGCATCAGGATGGAGCTCGGGCCCTGGACTCAGGTCTCCCAGGGTTGATTCCTGGCTTTCCCACTCCCAGGCTGAGTGGCCTGGGCAAGTTACTTGACATTTTCATGTCTCGGTTTCTTCAACTCTAAAATGGGCATAAAGGTTATCTTTATCAATAGGTTTGTTGTGTGGATTAAATTAGTAGAACCTTGTAAATCAAACAGCACAGTGCCTGGCACCTAGGAAGCAGACTGTGAGTTCAGGTGATGATGACGTGACGGTTACTATTCATATTATTATTGGAACATTGCCCAGTGCCTGGTGACTCTGAGGCAGAGAGTGATGGGGGACTGTGGGAGCTGTCAGTGGCCCCAGGAGGATAGTGAGAAAGCATAGGGTTCAAGGGACCCTTAAAGAGGGAAGGAAGATGTGTGCTTGGGAAACTGCAGGTACTTGTCCTAGCCAGTGCTGACAGGGAGAGAGAGCTGGAGCTGGCTTTGCGAGTGCAGAGTGAGGGGCAGATTACAGAGAATTTTACATTCAGAGGAGTTTGAAATATAGCCATCCCTCGTTGTTCACTGAGTCCATATTTGCACATTCACCCACTCACTGAAATGTATTTGTAACCCACAGGTCAGGTGTTGGTGCTGTCATGGTCGTTTGCAGACACGCTCAGAGTGGCAGACAATGTGAGTTGCCCGACAGGCACACGAGGTCAGACAAGACGACACTCTGCCTTCGTGTCTTAGCTCTCCCATGTCCTCCTCACAGTCCGGCCAGGGCCACGTTGTTGGGAGTTTGGTGCTCAGGGCTGGTGATGTTGCAGTTTGGTCCTCAAGCCTCATGCTGAAGCGCTGACCAGTGCCCTGAGTGCCCAGGGCTGTGCAGTACCTAGTGGAGAAACTGTGGTAGGTGAGCTGAGTTCAGATGTGAGTTACAGTGCCGTTGCCTTGAGGTCAATGTTTATGAATCAACAACATATGGTCAGGAACAGGCCTTTGTGGAGAAACCCGTGTAAAACCAGGTCTGCACTGATCTGTTGACGGAAGTCTGTGACTGGAGGCTCCGAGGGCCCAGCCTTGTCCTTCCCCCCAGGAAGTGGTGCCCCAGGCCGATCATGCAGGGTGATGGTGACTTCGTAGAGCGTGGCTGCAGGAAACAGGAGACTGGGCTGCATTTGCCGTCCCTGGGAGCTCTCGGGAAGGGGTAAGCCATGGGGAAGAGGATCCGGCTGTCCTAGGACCCAGCCACGTGTCCTGTTTGTGACAAGCAGGGAAGAATAAGCCAACCTCACTGGCTCTCAGGCACGTGGGATGTGAGAGACTGCCTGCCAATCATTGGCATGGCTTAGGGCAGTCTGGGTTATTGTTCTACAATGAAAGTTTCTTTAAAATCACTCCACACAGAAGAGAACTCAGCCTGTAGTGGGTGTGGCTTATATTTCTGCATTATTCTTATCAGAACTTTCTCATAATGTCTTGTCACTGAGAATGAGATTTGGTTTCTTGAAGTCCAAAGACAGCATCTATAATAAAAGCATAATATGCTAATTAGACCGGACATCCTTCCGGGGTCCTTCCTTCTGGACAAAGCCGCAGTGGGCGGGGGCCGGGGGCCAGAGCCAAGGCCCTTGCACTAATTTCGTGCATCAGGCCTTTAGTTAGTAAGAATCTAGAATCTGTGTATGTGGATCACAGAGAGTAAAATATGACATTTACCTCATTTGAATAGTGTCCCTCTGCTGCTCACCCCCTCCCCATTCACAACAAGACGTTTCTGGAAACCACAGAGTAAAGAAGATTTT